TATTTTCATACCAAAATGATGACGTAATATAAGATTTCATTATTATAACAATAATGAGGATAAATTATGTTAAAAAGACTGAATTTTTACCATTTTTATTACTCCCTACTTGTATTGTCGTCGTCTTTTTCATCACCTTCCTCTGTTTCTTTGCTGCGATCCTCCTCAAATTCAGACGCTTCTTTTGGACTATCCAAAGTTCTCTTCTCCTGTTCTTCTTCTTCTTCTTCTTCTTCTTCTTCCTCTAAACCCATCTCCTTTTTGCTCAATTCTCTACCATTTTTCTCTGCTCTTGTTTTCAATGTCTCTAACAGCTCTGTTAATGCTCTGTTTTTGCAGCGGCGGTTCTTTATGAGAAGCTCGCTCACATCCGCCGGCGTCGTCTTTGCCTTATCGATTACCTCTTTGATTTCATCCAACACGGTGCGATTGGATTCATCTTCGCTGTAGTTTAAGTAATTCTTCAGGAGTATCTTCAATGCCGAGAAAGAACAGTAACTCATGAAAATGTGCATATCCATTCTCCCACTTCGAAGCAATGCAGGGTCAAGCTTCTCAATGTGGTTCGTTGTGAACACGAAAATCCGCTCACTGCCACAGCAAGACCACAACCCATCCGTGAAATTCAGCAGCCCAGAAAGAGTGATCGACCCGGCACCGTTTTTGTCGCCGGAAATTGAACTGTAACCACCACCGCCGGATCGGATATCCGGCAAATCGAAGTAGCTTCTCGACCCAGAACTCGGATTTTTCTTTTTCCGATCGGTGAGGTTTATGGAGCAATCGATGTCCTCGATGACAATAATGGACTTTGAAGTGGTTTTCATTAGGAGTTTACGGAGTTCAGAATTGTTGTGTACCTCAGTGAGTTCGAGATCGTAAATGTCGTAGCCGAGAAAATTGGCCATTGCAGCGATCATACTGGATTTGCCAGTGCCAGGAGGGCCGTATAAGAGATAACCCCTTTTCCAGGCCCGGCCTGTCTGTTGGTAAAAGCTTTGACCTTTAGCGAAATCTTGAAGATCTTCCATAATTTGTTGCTTCCTAAGTGGGTCCATGGCCAATGTGTCAAATGTGCTAGGGTGTTTAAATGGCACCGATTCCCATGGATTGCCTCTCGAATCCAACGACCCGCCGCGTGAATTCGTGAACAGACGCCGTTCTTGATTTTTCCGGCGGATTTCATCGGCTCTGTCCATGACAAAATCGAGATACGAATCTAAAATGAGGGGTTTATCTTGTTTTTTGATCCGGAGAGTGAACCCCCTTTTCTCCTCTGGCAGAGGACGCCATAAGTAGCCCTGCGCTTGCCTCTGGGATACGATGTGCTCCCATTGGACAGTGACGCCGTTGAAGGAGTCACGGATGCAGTCATTGTTGGCGAGGCCGAAGGTGATGGCGCTGGAATTGACGGCGCGCGTGAGGCTCAATCGATTGCCGGAGATGGAGACGGATGAGCTCAAGTAGAGTTGGACGGCGTTGTAGAGCTCGTTGGTGTTGACGCCGTCGATTTCGGTGATGTCGAGGTAAACGTAGGAGGAGAAGCATCGGAAGATTTGGGTAAAGAGTTTGAGGGCGGCGAAACGGAGCTCCGGCGGGAAGATTGCTTGGAAGAGAGATTGAGAGAAGGCGAGAAGGCCGAGAAGTGAGGCCATAGTGGACCAATACTCCTTCATCCTTGACGACGCCGGAAAGGGGTATCGGAGATGAGAAGGAGGCGTTGGTGGAAGAAAATAAATGGGTGAAAAGGGATTTGGTGGAAGGTTTTATAGAGGAGAGAGAAAGGGGGGTTTAGAGAGAGAGTGGGTGGAGGATGTGGGGAATTGGCTGGCTGGGACAAAAGGACAAGGGGAAAAACAAAATGGGTTTTTGGAGTTTCTTTCATGGGTAGAGATCATAGATGGCCCATTCAAAATTCGGATTTCATAATTGATACTTTGGTTTTTACTCTTTGACTTTTCAGATATGAACACGGCTGGATGATGAAAGTTACACATTATCTAATTTAGGGACCGATCATTGATTTATAAGTGAAAATATTATCTATGATAGGTCGGGCTTTCCTATGTTGAGTGACGCCTTTTGGGAAGCCTAAAACAAAGTCATGAGAGCTTACAGTGAAACTGGACAATAGAGCAAAGTCACGAGAGCTTACACTGAAAATGGACAGCAAAGCAATGACAGCTCATCCTCAAAGTGGACAATATCATAAATGCATGCATCTTAGAAAAATTAATAGTTCACTCAATATAGAATTTGTTCCATCAAAACACAATTAACTATGAGGTTACTATGATTGAGTTAGAATGGTACATCTTATTGGTATTCGGGTAAATTTTCAACTCTTCAAGTATTTATTATATTCTTATGATCGCTGTCATTCGAATATAATTTTAGTTAATTAATATATCTATTATTTACTCGAGCGAGTGTTACAATATATGTAATTATTTAAATCTATAAATGATATAGATATACAAAATTTTGGAAGAAAAAAAAGATGGATTGGAAGAATGTTTCAAAATTTGTTTTAAAGAGAGGAAAAGCATGAAATATTTTTAGAAGCGAGATAATATAAGAAAATTGAAATATTAGTTAAAATTATATTTTTAATAAATAGAAGCTAAAAAAGGGGGGATTTTTAAAAAATGAGAACCTTCTACAGAAGAGGGTATGGTTATAACGCCGTGTGTGTGCTGACCTGGACGGCCACGTGTAATATCCTAAGCTGATTGTCTGTTGAAAGCATAATTAATTAATTAATGATATTATTATAAAATTTGAGGGGGGTAATTAAAATAGTTAGGTAGTATGGATTAAGATGAAGATTGATTAGTGGAAAGGTCCAACCACTTCAGTGACCCAATTCTGGTTTTAATTTAACCTAAGATCCATTAACCAATAATATAATGATTTTTTAATAATGACCTATGCGGTTATCTGGAATTAATAATATAATTTATTTTTATTTAAATACGATGGAAAAAGTATAAATAAAGAAAGAAGAAGAAAAAAGGAAAAAGGAGGTGAGGCTGACACACAACACAACATAACTGATAGGAATGGATATGGGTTCATGCGATGTCGTCACTTTTGTTTTCTTGTGTTGCTTAAAATAATATTAATTCCATGGTTAAATGGTGGCCTCTTCGTCTTCTTCCTCTGCCTCTGCCTCTGCCTCTGCCTCTGGGGAGTGGCTCTCTGTCCAAAGCAAAGATCCGAATCGTTGGTTCATTTGGGTTCGGACCCAAAATCCACTCTGTTTTGTGCTGATAAAATGGGTCAGACGCAGAGGGTGCGCAATGGAACAACGAAGCAACCCTTTTTGGGGTTTGAGTTAAAAACAGGACTTACCTTACCTTGCCTTACCCACCACGTCAAACCCACAGTCACGTAAACCCATCAGAAACAAACAAATTATACGACGCCTTGAATGTGTTGTTGGAAACAACAACAACAACAGAGAATCTTTCTCTCTATTGATGTTATTAGGAAGCCGAAGCAGAAACAGAGAAGCAGAGAAGCAGAACAGTTGTGAATGGTCCTTCTTCCCTAATCTCTACCTCTTCTGTCAATTAAATTCGAAAAAAAAAAAGCTGGTTTTATTTAATGTGGAAAGACATCTATGTCCCTCTCTCCACAAATTAAGAGCATCTTAAAATTCAAACTATACACTTTGCCCTTCCTCCTATTGCAACTAATCCTCAATGTTTGTTGATCTCCTCGAATTTGGCTATGCTTCGTTCACTTACAGTCACAATTCGGGTTGAACTCGATTGGTTTGCTCGCACCTGTCATTTTGTAGTTTAACGATATATAATTTCCCCCACCATAACAAAAAGTTGGGGATGTTCATGAATGAAGCTGGAGACCAAGAAAAACATTCATAGTGATGTGTCGAGGAGTGTACAATTATACAGACGAAGAAGCAGATGAACACATTCAATGTTCACATTATTCCCGACACTAGAAAATGAAATTTGAACAATACAAGAATAATACAGAATTTAATGAAATTTAGAGATTCTGAAGCAACCTCAAGGTGGAGAGGACTGTCGGTCTCTTTAGCACTTATGCAATATCAAAGTGAATGGCAAGATGGGACTTGCAAGCAAAATGTGGATCCCTCAATATCCCTTTTTTTTTTTTTTTTTTTTTGTTGCCAAAATTGGTTCCTCT